TTCGTAGACGCCAGTTTCAGCGGACTGGGGATCTGCAGCGTAAATACGAAATGGTCGATCTGAATCGGCAGATCGCTTCCAGAATGGTCTCAATCCGGAACGAGAGTTTCGGGCGGCTCGTTCAGAACCTGGACGACCGTTTCAGACCATTCTGGAAGGTTGCCAAGGTGCTGAAGTCTCACCCCAAGCCCATTCCACCACTTAGAGTCAATGACGAACGGTTTATCACCAACGAAGAGAAGGCCAATGCAATTGGGGAGCACATTGCCCAGTCGCATTTGCTTGGCTCTACAATCCCAAGTCCACTCGAGAACCAGGTTGTGCAGTGCGTCCAGACGTTAGATGCCTCCCCTTGTGCCGTCCCTCCAGAAGAACGGATTACAGAGGAACAAATTGCTCAGCGCTGAAACACAGTACGAACATGAAGGCTCCCGGGTTTGACGGAATATTCAACCTAGAGTTGAAAAATCTCAGCGCGAGGGTGCACTCGCTGCTGGCTGCCATCCTCAACAGATGCTTGGAGCTGCACTACTTTCCAAGCATCTGGAAGGTGGCAAAAATCATCCCGATCCGCAAACCTGGGAAAGACCCTTCACTACCGTCAAGCTACAGACCGATTAGCCTGCTCTCAGCGCTGAGCAAGCTGTTCGAAAAATTGATCCTCAGCCGACTAAACAAGTTTGTGGAGGAACATGACATTCTTCTTCCGGAACAGTTCGGGTTCCGTAAGGGGCATTCCACCAATCATCAGTTAGTGCGGGTGATGAATAACATCCGGAGTAACAAAGCTGTATCCAAGTCCACAGCCATGGCCTTGTTAGACGTCGAAAAGGCGTTTGACAATGTCTGGCACGACGGACTTATATACAAGCTTTGTAACTCCAACTTTCCACCATACCTTGTGAAAATCACCCGTAACTATCTCCAGCAAAGGTCGTTCAGGGTGTCGTTGAATAGTTCCCTTTCGGGACAATTTCCGATCCCAGCAGGTGTTCCGCAAGGGAGTCTGCTGGGACCACTGCTTTACAGCATCTACACGTCGGACATCCCTCCTCTAGGAGACGGTTGCGTGTTCTTTCTGTTTGCAGATGACACCGCGATAGCCGTCAAGGGTAGGATGCCTCGTGAAATTACGAACAAGCTCCAACGATGCCTTGACACCTTTACTGATTATGCCACCACGTGGAAAATCAAAATCAACGCCTCAAAAACCCAAGCGATCATGTTCCTTCACAGACAATCATTAAAACTTAAACCGTCTCCCTCCTGTACCGTAATAATGGATGGTACAAGGGTCGAGTGGTCCACTGATGTTACTTATCTCGGGATGTTGTTCGATGAGAAGCTCCTGTTCCGCTCGCACATAGAGAAAACCCTAGTTAAGTGCTCCGCCTTGGTTAGGTGTTTGTATCCGCTCATTTGCCGCAGATCCCGCCTCTCAAGGCAAAACAAACTGGCTGTTTACAAACAGATCATAGCCCCCGCGATCTTCTATGCCGCCCCGGTGTGGGAATCGTGCGCTCAGACCCACAGGAACAAAATCCAGGTTGCACAGAATAGAGTGTTGAGGATGATCCTAGATCGTCCATTCGACACAAGAATAGCAGACCTCCATCAAGAGGCAGAAATTCCCAAAGTAGATTCCAAAATTGATGATATGACAACTAAATTTATTCAAAAATGCAATCTTTCTGAACATGCTTTAATAAGCAATTTGTACATAGTAGGTTAAGTGTATATAGTAGAGTAGGTTAGTTTTAAGCTGTAAATAGTAGTATTAAGTAGTTTCTCTTCAAATTCTAAAAACAAAACAAACCAATCCCACCAAGGTGGTCGACCGTGTACTAAGTCTAGGACTAATTCTGTAAAACAAATTTTGAATTTTGCCCATACCTAAAGATGAAGAAAGCAATTAAATCACTTAGTAAAAATTTATATGGTAATCGTCCAAGTTAAACTAAAATAAAGATCATTTAAACTAAACTCGTTGAAGTCATTCTTGTAACGAATTTTGGAGGTGACGGACCACCAGCAGCAGCAGAAACAGCAGCAACAGAAACCTCAGCAGCAGAAACAGCAGCAGCAGCAGCAATAGAAGCAGCCGCACCCGTGGGAGCTGCATCGCTAATTCGTGTTGCCGTGGCCGAGGCTGGAAACCTCGGTCCGGTCACGACAGCCATTTTTTCCAGCTTTCGAAAACCTGACAGCGATAAAAATACAGTGTTTTTGGGGGTGTCCTTAAACTTATGATCGGGAGTGTACTTCTATTAAAATTTGTCTACCGAGTTTTTTGCTGTGATAAAATTTGATGTGGGACACCCTTTACAAGAACTTTTGATTACAATAGAAGAAGACACAAACGATAACATAGGATTAGAAAATGCCGAAGTTTTGGAGTTATTTTATGAAGAGTACCTAGTATGAAATGAAGTTGCATAACTAAATAGAAATGGAATGAAATCTTCTATGTCATACTGTAAAACATTAAAATTTCAAAACACATTATGTCAATTTTTTAGCCCCGTAACGAGGGTAGATCACCTTTTAGTGGTACGTTACGGGATGTAAGATCTACCACCGATTCCTAGTCCTGACTACTTCAAACTTGACGAAATAAATAAATAAATTTAAGAAAACAAAACTGTATTCTAATATGTACTAGTCTACGTTGGTTGACGAAATAAATAAATAAATAAATAAACTAGGGGAGCAGGATTTTTTGCCTTGTTGATAGTGACAAGACTCGGCTTTGTCTACCGAGAATGATCTTGAAACAAGGAAAAAAATGAGTTAGTTGTCTTCATCTATGTGATTCCTTATCTTCTATTCGTTGTTCCCTAGTTTGAAGTGGTTAAGACTAGGGTTCTGATGCATGGTCATTATCGGTGTCATACCTTAATTTTGTTACTAAGGAATCCAATTTTTACTGACAAAGGGGCGCGCCTTTGGAGGGTGTTTCAACACTCCGAAGTGTTTAAATAGCGGGACTTTTCAATTAAAGTCGGATCCTTGCGATCAGTGCTGTAAATTTTCATATCATTCGATTGAAGATGAACCACTACAACCATTCAATCAATTCTGTGTAAACGAATTCTCACATGACCATAATTTGAAGAGCCCCTTTCTCATTCGAAGCTCATTGTCACTGTCAATTGAGTCACTCAGTATCATTTGATATACGACAGTGAAGTATGGAAGAAATCCAGGAAAATGGTCCCGAACAGACAAGTCGACCCGATGTCGGATCAATGTAAGGCTAATTTAAGGTCGATGTCGACCCAATGTCGTGTTAACGTCGGGTCAATTTTGGGTTTATGTCGGGTCAATGTCGGGTCAACATCGGGTTGGGGTTTGATAGAAGTCAGGTTGGTGTCGGGTTGGCTTAGCTTTTTCGCCGGAATGTCGACCAGAGCTCCGTTTGTGTTTAGGTTACACTCAATCGAATGATATATAGCGTTTCTTAAATGAGAATGATCCATGCCTTCGTCAAATGACTAAGCAACTGATTTCACCCATTCGGAGGAGGTCCCCTTTGATAGCGAATAGCTACTTTTCTCATTTTCATCAAAAATGTTCAAATGATTTTGAGAATTTACAGCACTGCTTGCGATAAATGCAAGAGTGGCAACTGTAAAAAAAATCGAATATTTCATCATTTCTCAATAGTGATTGAGTAATACGCCATGCACTAAACTAATGACACGGGATATACTACAATAGATTAATTAACTGGTCGCAGTAGTGTTAGGTCCCGAACAGAGGAATAAAAAATGTAAATTTTTACTACTAAAAGAAGCTTTGAAATAGCGCTTTGTAAATAATTTTGGCTGGGATTTGCGATTTTCCAACTATAGTGCATTGATCGTAATTGATTTCTTCGTGGTCTATTCCTGCAAAATTAGTGTAATTGAAATAGAATGAGGAAACTCTAATGGAATGCTTTGTAAATCGTGCCTCAGGTGCATCAATCCCAGGATAATTAATTTTCCTGCTGAAAAAATATAGTTAAGCTATAAGCAAGGTATTACGCCCCACTAACTACTTCTTAGATAGGACAAAACCGACAAACGCCGTGGCTGTTTTTCTATCCTGCAACAGCATCGCTCCAAGCACATGTTTTCCGTTCAATTTATTTCATGAAATATCCTATTTACCTATGCTCTAGAAGGAGGTAGTGAGCGGTTTTGCCAACAACAGCCCACATTGGAATTTTCATTCATGAAACCGGTCTTTTCCAATGGAAAGCAACCAGTTGCGTTATCGTTTTCCCGGGGAGAGAATAGCGGCAAAGCTCTCTCTTCAATTTCCCACGCAATTAGGGAGAGAGAGAGAAAGAGAGTCTTCAACCCCAATTTTCCTGCCAGACACAGGTGGGTGTGAACGTTGTGCTTAACCTTCAGATCATTCAGTAGGTGTTGGGTGGCGATCCCGAGTGGTTGATATCCTGTCGCTGATCCTTTGGTGGTTTTGGTTTTCGGAGTGATGCGTAAGGACTAGCATCCGACGCTGAGTGGAAAATTGATGGCTTTTGGATATACAGTTGAACGACGGCTGGCAGATGGTTCAGTAGCATCCGCACTGTGCTAGGAAGAACATCGGATTCGCCGTAGCCGGTTTGAGTACAACCTGAGTACTTGGCAGGCGAAGCATTGTCGACCCATAAACCGGAACCGTGAGGATGTGAGACTGAAATTATGTTGGCACCAAGTGCACAAAGTGTCGAGCCAGGAATAATATGCTAGGAAGGGTCGCCAGTGTGAAACAGTTCATTTGATTATGCACATGGTGCCCATAGGGAGCTCGTTGTTTGCGGTCAATTTGTGTAGGACATGTTGTACCTGTTGCATATGCATGGAGAGTGCGAGCGTGAAGAAAAACGTGTTTCTGCGATTTTTCAAGGAGTTCTTGTGATGAAAGTGGTGCTTGCTTCTGGTTTGCTGAATGAATAGTGAACGTATGAAACCTAAGCTGAATCATGTGATTTATAGCGAGCTGAAGTGTTCTTTTATGTTTTATGGTGTTTTCTTGTGTACGTTGATGTAAGCAGTGAGAAACGGAAGGATACAAAAAATTGCTTCGACAGCGTAACTGTAGGATTAGGTGATTTATATCATTGTAAGCGAATAAAACGAATAGCGAAGATGGTGAATGATAGCTATAGTTCTTTGATGGTGGCAGCTTCGGCTGCTGCAGGTGGCCATTTTAACACTACTGTCCTGTCCACCACTAATTCGATGACATCTGGGTTGCCTCCGGAGGATGACAGAGAATTCGATGAGATGGTGTCTAGAATTGTGGTAATCTTTTTCGGACTTATCGGAATAACTGGTTTGCTGGGAAATGCCCTGGTGGTACTGGTGGTGCTTTCTAATCCAATGATGAGATCAACGACCAATTTACTGATCATCAATCTGGCCGTAGCAGACCTTCTGTTTGTAATATTCTGCATACCGTTCACTGCGAGCGACTATGTGTTTCCATCGTGGCCATTTGGAGACCTTTGGTGCAAAACTGTTCAATATTTGATAGTGGTGACGGCACATGCTAGCATCTACACTTTAGTGCTGATGTCTCTGGATCGATTTATGGCGGTGGTGCATCCTATAGCTAGTATGGTGATAAGAACTGAGAAAAATACCCTCTGGGCCATCACAATCCTGTGGGTGCTGATCATCACAACGGCGCTACCGGTGTCATTCGCTCATGGAATCAATGTAAGTAGAGCAGTTTTTTTATTCAACACATGGGATCAAATTTATTGTCAATTAATTTATGATCGACTGCTTTGATAGCAAATCTTATTTATATTGCACTTGCCACCAGCAATTATTATGAATCTGTTTACCGTATGAATGGAAAGATATTAGCTTCATTTTAGAGGTTAATATGTGACAAAACTTCACCAGATAGGCTTCGGCGATTGGCTACTAGGCAAAATGGGGCATTGCATTTATTTATTTATTATATGCAATTCATGTAACGAAATTTAAGTCGGTTATTGTTTCTTGTTCTGATATTTTTTCATTGTAATATTATTTACTCTGCGATGTGTTCTCTCAAATCCCGTCCGAATCCCGCCGTTGAATTATTAGATTTGGTGTTTAAAGGTAACTGATTCCAATAAACAATGCCTCTTGCAAACATAGACCGACTATAATAAGCACTTTTATGCTGAGGAATTAGAAAATGTCTAGTTCTTGCAAGTTCTAAAAGGTGACAGCTTAGAAAATAAGTACTGAGGTTGCCTAGTGTTGGTTATTTCAAACAGGGTGAAACATAATCTAAACTTATACAAGTTTTGAATAAAATATCCAATGGGATTTTTGTGTAAATGAGAAACTCTGGCGAATTTTAGCAAGTTATAAACGTGTCTTACACATGCAATCAATGCAACACATAATTTATGAACCGACATTAAATAAAGTCTGTTCCATTTAGAATTTGGCCGTACAAAATAGGTCAATTCTCCAACGTTAAAGATATAATTTTGTAGGATTTTTATTTAGCTTTCAGGGAAAAATACAACAAAAATTATTCGTCAGCTTTTCGGATTTATTTTCAAAATTTTCACGGAATACCTCTCATCATGTCTTGCACAGTAGTACTGTCAACCTCATCTACCATCCTTTTCCACCACTTCTACAAATTTATTTATGTCGTCAATCAATCGTAGACCAATTACAATGAATGCTTATTAACTATGTCTTAAATATTATTGCCTGGCTAACCTTGAAAAGAATGCTTTTCTTAGTGTTATTTTATTCATTGTTACATCAATTGATAGGGAATATGCGTTATAGCAGGTCATAATTCTATTCAAAGGCCCATTTTTAGTTTAGTTTGTTCTTTGATTGTTAATGTAAAACAAATTCCTAATCCTCAGAGAGCGAGTGGGAGCATAAAAATTTATATTTTCTAAAATTTCCGGAACATTAACTCTTTGAGCAATAACATCGTTTATAAATGTTACCATGGCAAAGTCTCTTCGTTTTTTCAGTCCATCTAAACTTATTAACAAACATCGCGATTCATAAGATGGAAGTGGTAATCTCGTCCAACCTAATTTTCGAAGGGCAAACAACAAAAACTGTTTTTGAACAGACTCAATGCGGTTTATATATGTATCCTGATACGGAGCCCACACTACGCTACAGTATTCAAGAAGAGGTCTCACATAGGCCACATACAATGTTTTAATAGTGTAAGGATCATTGAAGTGCAGACTAAATCTTTTGATAAACCCTAGCATGTTACTTGCTTTATATATAATGTTATTGTAGTGATCAACAAATGACAACTTAGAGTCGAGAATAATGCCTAAGTCCCTTACTTGATTACAACTTTCAACTGTTTTCTCACCAAGGGAAATTGTGTCATTTACTATGGCATGCTTTCTTGTAAACGATATAGAATTACATTTACTAACGTTAATCTCTAAAAAATTCTTCTTACACCAAGCGTAAAAAATGTCAACTTCTTGCTGAAATAGCTGCATATCAGATGCTTTAGATATTTCCATGAAAAGTTTCATGTCGTCTGCATATATTGAAACATGAAGCAGCTTCAAAATGTATTCTATATCATTGACAAATAAGATGAATAGTAGTGGACCAAGATGCGAACCTTGGGGCACACCAGATGTTACATGAACGACAGACGACAATTTTCCTTCAAATCTTACTCTTTGCGTTCTCCTTGACAAGTATGACTCGATCCATTGCAGTAGCCTGGTATTAAAACCTAACTTGGACAACTTGAAAATCAACAGTGGTATATCCACTCTATCGAATGCTTTACTAAAATCAGTATATAATGTTTCTACGTAATTTCCCTTATCCATTACATTTAAAGCATATGTTACAAAATTTATCAAATTAGTGGCTGTAGATCGACCTTTAACAAATCCATGTTGTTTACTAGTAATGAGAGATTTAGCTTGGGAAAATATGTTGGCATTAATGATGGACTCCAAAAGTTTAGGAATAGTAGATAATATAGCAATCCCGCGATAGTTTGTGATATCCGATTTTTACCCGCTTTTAAAAATAGGGATTAAGAAAGATTCCTTCCAAATTGGAGGCAGCATACTGGCGTTTAACGATGAATTAAACAACCAAAATAAAGGCTTTACTAATTCATTTGAAAGTGTTTTTAGAAGACTAGGTGGTAAACCATCTGGACCAGTGCCTTTTGACGTATCCAAGGACTCAAGAGCATGCAAGATTTCTTTGAGGGATAAATTGTTAACTGTAATATCCGTCCGTGTTTCATTTTCTCCTATAATCGGTATCAACAAAGATTCGTTGTCGTCATCAACAATAAAATTCACTGAGCGTTGGTTAAAATCTCCGTATATGTGAACATTTGCTTCCGCCTCACATTTCGAAATAATATTTTCAGCTAGTTTAAATTTTTTTTCGTATGAATCTTGCTTTGCATATTCTGGAGGAAAATATACTGTCGCAAAAATATGAACTTGATCTCCAATGAAACATTTGACCCAAACGTGATCAAACTCCTTACACTTACAAGATGATATTTGTTCAGATTCATAGTCAACACTAACTGCTACTATGACACCACCACCACTTTTTTTTGTTGGATAACGTTTTATCACGATCATCCATAAAAAACATTGAATCGATCACCAAAAACTTCTTCGTTCTTTACTCCAGCATCCCAGCTGGTTTCCGTTGCTAAAATTGCATGAAAATTGCATGCTGATACTTGTTTATAAATTTCGTTCACTTTGAAAGCACTTTTCATTCTGTTAAAATTTTGGCAATAGACGAGTAGCTCCTTGCTTTCATATGTACATTGCGATGTTGTATTCCCTGAACACTTAAAACTATTAAAATTAATTACCTCTTCTTCTTGGTCCTGAGAGGTCGTCAAATCTTGAAAATCGGTCGGTTCTGCAACACTGTTGTCATCTACTTCCTCTGGAGAGAGCGTCAATTTCGACGAAAACACGAATGTCTACATAGACACGCTCCGGTCGATGTAGAGGGGTTAGCCAGCCAATGTGAATTCGCAGTACCGCTGACCGGGTAAGGGTTTAATATTTCACCTTTTTCAAATCGCATCGACGGTGTAACCGGAGGTTTGGAGAAGCGATCCTTTGCCACAGTTAGAAGCTCTCGATCAGTGGGGAGCAAATTGGATCTATTGTAATTATTGTCGCCGTGGTTATTGTTGAAGCCGAAAATTGTCCTCCGATTGTTGTTGTTATTGTTGTTGTTATTGTTGTTGTGATTGTTGCGGTGATTTCGCAAGCTGAAGTTGTTGATGTTTTGATACCTTCTGCTTTGTCGCTTGCGTCGCCTTTTTGCATTATCAGCCTGTTTTTGCTGATTCGAACGTCTTAATTTCCGCGCATCGTATTCAGACCAATCGGCCTTCCATACTCTCCTCGTACCTATAAGACGCCACCCGGAGCTATCAGCGTCCTTTTCCTTGTTCAATTCTACCTCCAAACTGGGGTGTAAGTCGGGAGAAGATGGTTGCCATGCAGTATGGTGTGCTATGTTGGCAGACAGCGCCTTCACCTCATCGAGTATTTCAAGCTCCAACATTGAATTTGTTTGCATTGTGCAACTTGCCGCGGTATCTAAAGAGAGTTGGGTGAGATGGCTAACCTCATCATTTAAGTTACGTAGGTCAGTTGATAGCTCTGACGTCACTGATTTGACCGCCACATTAACATTATCCTTTGTTGACATCGTTGCAGTATCAAGTAGCGAGGTAATGTGGTTTTTTATGGCAACGACACTGCCAGCTAAACTGTTACTTTTATTAATTGCGGCCAACTCATTTTTCATACTGGTCAGCAAAATGTCTATGCCATCGATCGCTTCATGAACGAGGTTCGGTTTTTCTTGTTGAAACGTGAGCCGGTGCATCACCTCCGCATTGCCATTCAGTTGCTTTTCGATCGATTTTTGCTGTTCAGCAATGCTTTTAAAATCGAGTTTTGCCTGTAAAAGCTCTTGACAGGACTTGCAGCATGGTAGTATGTAAGATGTAAAGTCCGATACCTTCCTGTCCTTCCTGCGAAGTGAGTTCCGTTGTACAGTTACCCCAATGCAGGTAGCGTGGAACATTCTTGGGCAACCTGCACACGTCCACATGACCGAGTCGACAGAAGTGTCGCAAGCACAAATTTCGCAAACCATGATGTATGCAAGTAAAAATAACTGAATCACAGAAGGTAAAAAAAAATCGCACCAATTAAAAACACGGAGCCAAATAAAAGTACGTCCGAACTTATCGACGGTCGAATAATGATAGATGGTGTTTTGATTGTTTTGCGTCATTTCTTCAATTTGCACTTGATAATTGTCCACAATTTTTTAATGGGACGGAAATTTGGACAATTTGGTGAATTGATACTTTTCTCAATAAAATCGGCATTATTCTGCTTATACCACTCTATGACATCGCGGCTATAATGGCAACTGGCTAAGTCAGGCCAGAACTTTACGGGACCTTCGTGTGATTGAATGAACGGCAAAATTATGTCCTGGAGACACTCCTCCTTGTAAAATTGTTCGTTCATAGTCGCTTCCGTGATGAAAACCTTTGTTGTCTTTCCGCAACTGCAGATGCCTTGCCAAATCATCAACTTGCGAGCGATTTTATCTGCAAAGACAAATTTGAATTTATCCGGAGCATCCCCTTAACGTTTAGCAAAGTAAAATTCATCGGCATCCGA